GCTCTGCAAGCTCCGCTATAATCCAAATATGTCCATGGTACTGTAAATTTGCAATATGCCAATTTTAATCCTGGACATCTAAACCTTTTTGACACAAACACTCCCTCCCTTTCTAACATGAAGCACTTTCTCTCTCTTTTTCTCTAGTAAACAAGAAGGTTGGGAGCACCTTGAGGAAAGTATAAAAATGTTAAGTGCACCTTAATAAAGCCTCCAGTGTACTGAGCAATAGATCGGTCAGGACTTGCAGATTTCTCTCCTCCTTTATGCCACACAGGTGGTTTCTTAAAGAAGTATTCATTTGTCAAGTCTATTAGATGTTGGTGGTCCACATTAACTCCTGCAATAACCATTCTGGATGGCTGATAGTATGTTCTTAAGTAGTCTTGCAAAATTGAAGAGTTGAACTTTCCTATGTTCTCTGGTGGACACAACTTAGGTAGGCCTAGTGTGTTATCACGGAAGGCTGCCTAAACAGGGAGATAAAAGCAAACAAAAACAAGTAATAGGTTCAAGAGAACTAAAACTTGCCAATTAACTCCAAAAAATTTTTTGTCACACAAGCATGTGTGTATTCAAAATGGTACCAGTCACTTCACTTGCAAGCTCCACCAAACATTAATATTGTGACAGATGCCATCTATTATAATCATCACCATTCGCTTTGGCAATGGAATGGAGCAATGTTCTAGAAACACTAAATTTTGTTTTCTGAAGAAGTGAATGTCGGTAACTCCTCTCCCATTACTTTGCAATGTTTAATAATAGTATGAAAAAATGACAACATTAACTTTCATCACTATAAATTAACATTCTGTCCTGAGCAGCCTGCAGTTAGCTGAGCTATTTTAGGCAGGCCACCCAACCTAAACAACACAACTAAATTACCAAGCTTGTAAGACATGAGAAGAAATCAAATTTACAAAAAGGAACAAATATAATGAATAAGTAAAATTTAGAAATGTAAATAAGTAACACAACAAATATGTAAGAAATGGAAAAACAGACCACAGCTAAATAAAATTTAAAAATTCTCAGGAAATTTCAATGAAATGCAAATCAATATCTATCTTAACATTTTCAAGAATTTAAAAAGGTTAATTATCCTAGTTAGGTATGAAAGGCACTTTCTTGAACTCACAAAATTCTTTTAGGATACTATTCCATATCCTGTTTAATAGTGTTGTTCACAAAATTTATTTGATTGAGTATATTCATTTTCAACTGAATTTCATTCTTATCATTTTACTAAAAGAATGCATGATCAATCTTTTTTTTATAACTCAAGATGACCCACAAAATACTGTACAGCTAAGTAGTTGAACATTTAATTTATTAACATACAGTAACACCAGTAAGGAAATATTTCAATTCAACCTACAGCGTGAATCATGTCTGTGAGGACAGGTTCTGGATCAGGTCTCATTTCTATGTTCTCAAGTTCAAATTGGACTACCATCTTTTGCTCTTCAATCTACAAGTATTGGAAAGAACATGTAACGAAGTGTACTATTTGAACAATAAAACATGGACTAAATACATCAAAAGTGTCACTCTGCTTGCACAAACTGTTTGGTATTGTCAGATTTCCTAGCTTAACTTCTTGGAGACTGAAAAAAAAGTTTCTGCTCTTGACTGAGTTTATTTAAGGAAGTATATTAGACATATTTCACGATAGCATGTGTACTTTACTTGGCAAAAAAATTCAATTTAGTCTTGTCTAAGTCTTTGAACAAAAGATTGAGCTATGACTTCCTATGCACCTGGTGTTCAAATCTGTATTGCTAAAATTCTAGTGGGTGTATCAGGCCACTTTCACACTACCATGCCTGGATTACAGCTAAATGAGTACTGTACAAATAGCAAAACTTGTCTTGAAGCTAAACAGATATTCAATACACTGAACAGTAGACATGGAATTAGACATCCAAATACTAATAATCAAACTCAACAGTCCTTTGTGTATAATAGTCAATAATCATCACCTCTTGGTCTGTAAGTCTGGGCTGAAGTACACCCTCAGAAAGAACCTTCATTACTGTGGGCAGGCCACTTGTAAAGCAAGATGCTCCATAAATAATGGCATCCCTGTTGACATAAGGATTTGGAAAAAAATTAAAAGTGAGAAATAATTTCTCACAAATTTTACATTTTTCAATTGAAATAGAAAGGAAGATTTTCCATTTATAAGAAGATTCCTTTGCCATGAATATCACAAAAAAGACATAATTATATAAAGTTACTAAAAATCAGGGTCATTATAATATAGAATGAAGAGAAGATTTAGATATATGATAATTCACATACTCATTTTACTTACTGACTATAGGACCTGAAAAAAATTTCAGGCCCGTACGGGATTTGAACCCATGACCTCTGCGATACCGGTGCAGCGCTCTACCAATTGAGCTAACAAGCCAACTGGGAGCTGGTCAATGAATTGGGTGAATTGGGTACAAATAAACATCCGAGTGAATGAAGATTTAGATATATGATAATTCACATATTTGCACTGCGGTGGAAAGATGAAATTAGAAGATCCTCGCAGCTAAGAACACTACTGAAGCTAGTAGTTGTATTGATGTAGCATCCTGAATGAATCATTATCACTTTTTTAAATGGAAAGCACACTTCATTTTTGCTAATCATGGCTAGAGTTACAAGTCTTTAAAAACATCTTGATTACCTGAATGAGGAGCAGTCTGCCATGCCTCCAAACTTCTCTAACTCTTGTGTGAAATCATCATTATTCTGAAATTCCACTGTGCTCTATACAACAGGAAAGAGAAGCACATGTCACTGACTTTAAGGGTTGTGATCTAGGAAAGAAGGAAACAAGCATGTAGCTTTTTACCTGAAAAGCCAGTTTCTCCAACAAGTGTGATAAACCAGCAGGGTAATCAACCTCATATCTTGAACCTGCATCAATAACAACTGAAAACAGAAAAGAAATAAACCAGGAAAGGTGTACCGTGATAATCTTGATAAGGTTGGTAGTTAAAAAACAACTAATCATTTAGAATATGGTAGCATGATCATAATAATTAAAACCTGCAGGATTTTATTCTTACTTTGTTTCCAAAGTATGAAATGAATAATGAGACTCTTCTCCTTGATTTCAAGCTTGTCTACGACAGCTTGCCCCCAACAGTATGTCACATTACCTGATGGCTTAGCAATTTCCATTTGTATCACAAGCACTGTGAGAGAAAAAGCATCTCATCCAAATTATCTGGAGAGACCTTTGCCTGGAGGGCTCAAACTCAAATTTCTTGATCCTGAGTCTAGCGGGCTAATCATTTGGACTGTGGGTTTTCAAACTTTTTTTGTTCTGTTATACATCAGGACAAGTTTTATTTTTTTAACTTGGCTCCATAAAATAATGGCCTATCTAATTTTGATCTAAAGTTAACTCACTACCAATAAAAGTACTTTTAATGACCCTATTCATTAAGTTTCCTCAGGGGCTTTGATTGTGAATTATTCCCAGTAATGAAATTTTAGATAACTATTTACTGATGGGAGAGGACAGACATTCTCAACAAAGCACATGTCAGAACAAGTAATAAAATATTAATTATCATTTAATGTCAATTACTACAAATGAGAGGAAAGAATTCTTCAGAAAAGGAACTCCAGTGCTAAAGACTTTGATGAAGACGTGCCTAGCTACAAATTGGGTAAGTTTCGATGGAAGAAGAAAGAGTCACTGGAGATGAGGTTTCCTTATTTCTTCTTAATTTCAATCATTCTCTCCCACGTTCGGTCAGTCTCGCGCTGAAGCTACACTAGTTGCACGCCTGACAGTCGGAGCATTTTAGATCCTGATTGCACGTGCGTGATTGTCATATGTATATAATGCATATGTACATTGTCAAATCGTACACACACATGTTAAGAAAGAAAATCGCACTCTCATCAATCTAAAGATTTTTCCGAAGACATCGTTTTCTATACATTTATTCTAAACTTACCACCTACTGTGGAAAATTGTCCAAAAGAGTCTTCTGATGCAACTCTGATGCCATTTTCCAGAGTAGTAACGTGTGTTACGTGATCGTGCCGGTTTTGCCAGTCTGCTCTCCCAACCATGCCAGGGGCTGGCAGATTGGGTAAAGGCTCGTTAAGTGGAGGGATCGTTCCGTTACTGAAAAGTCTCGTTCGTACTGCATATCTGAAGGTTCCATTTAATCTATGAAATGATGTACAATCTTGGAATATTGGCACGAGACTTCGTCCAGCCATCTTCTCTTCTTAGCATTGCGGGCTTAACAATTTACAGCAGCTGAAATAACAAAGAGATTTGTCCTTCATTTACCTCAACTCCTAGTGTCCTCTTGATAGAGAAACGTAGGGCTGCAATGCAAATAAGTAGGGCAAGGGTTCACTCTCAGTTGACCTAGTCAGACAAAGGTCATGATGGGGCATCTCGATAGAAGAATACAAAAGAAAAAGCTCTACATGTCCATAACTGAGGGAAAAAAAGTTTTCAGTAAAATTTCCCCCATATTTTTCTCTGTATGGTGGATTGAAACTGAGATTATTTTTAAAACAAAACAGTTTTGCTTCTTTAAGGGTTCCACTGCAAGGCTTAATTGTACCTCTCAGAAGAAACAAGCAGTAAAAATAATTCCTGTAGAGACAAGATCATTGGTTTGTTGAGCACTTCTTAAAGGACTTGATTGAGCAGGGTATAAGCATTATTCTGTTCATATTTACGAAAGCTATGAGTTCCTAAAGAAACTGTTGTAATACATTGATGAACGGGTGAGCCACCAAACTTATCAACAAGTAAAGGCTGGTGGGGATGGATTAGCCAATGTAGCCAAAATTGAATTAACATGAGTTGTCCCTTCTGATCTGAACATGACTTACACCTTTATCTCTTAGAATAAAATGAAGGCAATCCTCATTGACAACAGCCCTGATGCATTGCCAGTTTCTATAACATACATAAGATTATTCAAAATTCTGGCTTACAAAAACAGCATAACATTACCTTTCATTTTGAATCAATAATTGTTTTATTTCAATTTATTTATATAGTATACAATTCACTTAAAATGTCTGAAGACATTTCATAGAATGAGAGTGTTAAATTGCATCCATGTAGGAGAGTAAGTCACTGAACCACTTTTGTTCAAACACATAGGAATTTGTGACACTTTCTGTGGACATTGTTTCTGATCTGCTCTCCTAAAAACAACACAAAAAAAATACTGGCTGTTAATGAGACAGTTGTTTAGAGTTTGAGAAATGAATTAACCCAGGTCAAAAGAACACTTTAAAAACCCTCCAGCCTACTATTTCAAAGTAGTGCTCATCAAGATGGAATAGAAATTTAATTTCCCCTGTTAAACCTAATACTCACAACCCAAATTGAAGCTTAGTACAGGAAAGATTCAGAGAATCTTTCATTCTGGAGCTGAATTCAAAAGTTAAATGCAATTTAGAGGTCTTAAACAAATGTTAAGTTCTAAAATCTTTTTTACTTTTTTTAAGAGTTCCTCATATACAAAAAAATTTCAAAATACAAAGACAAAACTTCCACCTTTAGTTTTGTTTCACTCTGTTCCTGGTCTAATTGTGTTTGTCCACTTGCAGCAACAGAACTGTACAACATCTGATTAAATTGAAACAAAACAAAAATGAGTTATAAATAATTAATCAACTTATTGCATGGCAAAATAGTAAAGTGGCTTCTTGATCTGATCAAGGACATTAAAGACACCAATAAATTTACATGTTCAATTTGTGCAAAAATGTCATTTGTTATTGATTAGATTACATGACTGTTTCTACCTTCCTTTAATTACTTTCAAAGGATGGCTACCTTACTAATACAACTAATGTAAATTGTGCCATTACCAAATTAAGAAATTAATTTAACCAACCCATTTTTACAACCCTGCATGTTATTGTGCCCTGACAGTGATGATATTTAGAGGTTCCACTTTACCTCCAAGACTTTTTCAATCAGGTGGGCACAACCACATTCTGCATGACCTGCAATCCTGCTATTCACCTGGTAATAATAATATCATGTAAGAACATACTTCGATGGTCATGCTCTGAGAAACTGAATAATTCAAAGCTCAAAGACTTACTAATATACTGGTAAATGTTTTTCTATACTAGTTATTGTCAATCATTATCAATTATAATGATGACCTATCACAGACCTCTTGTACCACACACAAAATAACCACCACACTTTGCAACTCATAAAAATGACCTTCTAAAAACTCTGATAAATGAACCCTTTCACTCCGACCAATAATTGTCTTAGCAATTCTCCTCACTGTATATCATTTCATTCTTGTGATACTGATTCAGAGAATCTGGTATTTAATCAACTAATAATCTCTTAGTTGATATTTTCATTATTCTCATCCCTTGTCTGCTTGATATTGTAATGAGAAATTTTGTCTTCAGGGTTAAAGAGTTAACAATATCATTATTCTCTGCTTAATAGCAGCAGTCAGTCTACTGGAAGCCATCTAACAGATTTTTTGACCAGTTTAGAATTTTCATATTTGTGTAATAAAAGTTACAGTTAACCTCTCTGAGAAGAATGCTACTTTTTTCCTTTGCAAATGATGAAGATGACTCTATAGATTTTTCAAGGAAGAACCTAAATAGACAGAAAAATGTACATCTTCAATGTTATCAAGATTTAAAGAACATCTTCAATCTCTCGTGTTTACAATTAATGTATCAACTGATAAACCTCACATAGAACTTATTTTTGAAGAGCCTAATTTTTGGCAAAATTCAGCAGAATATTCTTGTTAACTATTTTGCAATAATTATATGAAATGAATGGACAAGTAAGACGAACCATGATGTTACCTAGTTTTAACAAGAGAGCCAAATGAAAGAGCATGATTCCTCCACTTTAATCTTTTCCTGGTACATTCACATTCTTCCAGCAGATATTTTTTGTTGCTTGAAAACAAATAGAGATCACTACCATCTGCAAGTGAATCTGAACATCCTTTGCACAGACATGAAATAGATTGATCTTGAAGTTCTGTTTTTTTATCTGACTGAGTAACAGAGGAGTCCTGCTCTCCAGTATCCACATTTGCCGAGTGATTTCTTATCTTTTCTTCATCCAGGCAGTAAGGTTCTGTTTGTGTCAAACTTTGTATCTGTTTTTTAGTTGAAAGACACGGACATTTTGTTGTATACATACAACACCCTTCTTGAGACTGACTTTCTCCATTTAAATGCCTTTTTGTGCAGTTCTCTATAGCCGGATTGTGCTTCTTAAAAGAAATTCTTTCCCTTTCAACTTTTGTTACATCTTCATCCTGACACAGGTTACTGCAGCTAACAGATGCCTTTTCATATGCCAGAGCTAAAGAGAACCAAAACTGAGCATTCCAGGAGTGAAGGGTTGCACATCTTTGAAGAGTTTCTATTTCGCCTACCAAATGAAAAGCAAATAAATGGTATTGCAGACTGCAATTCTACTGAATGTAACATTGAAAATTAAAGGAAAACTGTCCAGCTAATTTACAAGCACTTTTCTTTAGACATATTCAGATGTAGCTCAAAATCTTTAGCCAGTACCTTCAATATTTCCCATGGCTCTATAAATTTGGTACAGTAAATACCAGTATGATGATTCATTTTCTTGGTTGACATGCTGTTTGGGAGTCGTAATAGAAAAATTGTTTAGCAGTATGTTACAATTATAATAATTTTGATTTGGGAAAACTTTTACAAATCAAATTAACTCCGGCCTCTAAAAAAGAATCTCTGAGATAAAGAGCACAACTAGGAAAATAGACTTATAAAAAGACTGTTTCCTTTTTCATTCTCATGTGCTTAACTTTTCCTGCAGACACAGATACTCTTCACCTAACACTTTGATGAAGCAGCCTGATAAATGTTGACAACTCTAACTAACAAATGAAACACATTTCTCACACTTTTATCACCTGTAATCAACTATCACACAGTTTGAACATGCTCAAATGAAGGAAGAAGAATAAATAAAAAGCAGAGAAAGCTCTGAAAACATGACTGCCAGAAGCAAGAGATGGCATTGATAAAAAAAAAAGCAAAACACCAAAGAAACAAGCAAGCAAGCTGTGCAAGTACATATCACGCTTTCCATAAACTATCAACAACTGCCATGAACTAGGTTCATAAAACTTGTTAGCCTCTTACTGGTACTCATTTACTTACCTTATGTACTAATGACAATTCTTAGCTAATGAATAGTACTTTTTACTAACTGCATAATCCTTATTTAACATGGTCTGATTAATTAAAATTTTCCTTTAATCAGAAGCAAAACTAAACAACTCACCATCATCCCCCTGACAAGAGATAAGGCATCATCAGGCTTATCTTGTTTCAGTAAGCACAAAGCCATAGACTCTGTTAACTCCCATTCTAGAACTGTATTATTTGATGTCAAACACTGCAGAGACTCTTGATACACGGAGAGAGCTTCAGAATACTGATGCTTCTGAAAAAACAAATCCCCCTGGTACTTCTTTATAATCTGTCTCTCTGTTTCATCCTTCACATGGAACTTCATAAACCACTACAATAAGGAACATCCAAAAGAAAATCATTGCATTTACTCATAACAAATCAGAGGGCAGTGCTACAAAAATGCATTTTGAATTTCTCCCACACAGCCTGTCAAATTTTTAGAGCAAAATATTTACATCACTCATCCCTAAAACATTAAAAATCAATACTTTAACTCCCAGAGGTGACTAACATGTAACTTCTCCTTAAAGTGTCCATATATTATCTGGCAAACAGGCAAAGAGAATACTCAAACTTTGCAGGTAGAAGTTGTTTTGTTAATCTAACATCGATTCTCCTAACTAATTTACATGGAAATGGTAGCAGCTAGAGGGAAGAATTAATAATCAGATCTCTGGAGATAAAGAGGGTTTTTATCAGTGAAGTGAAGGTAAATATCCACCACTTTCACTGACACTGAGTTGAACAACCGTTTTAGTGTATACCACGCAGAAACCTAAAAAGGCGGGTTATCTCTGTTGATATACCACAAAATGGTCGAACGTTCGTTTCGCATTGGCTGCAGTAAGTTAAAATTGGCTGCTTAGAGGTGAAAAGTAGTCACAAATCAGACTGCAGCTTTTGTAATAGAATGTTGCTTGTACTCAAAAACATAGGGAAGAGTCAGAATTGGAATTAGCAACCTACAGATTTGCATAGTGAAGATCTAACATGGTACGATGGTCCCAATGGTTTAGTAACGATTTGCTTTTACGCAGTGGCAGATCGACGACACTATAGAATAGGTGCAAACCATTGTTACGAGAGAAGCATCTAATACATTAAATATCCGAATGGTTCAAGAAACAATTACACTGTACATGAATGCCGGTCACGTAAGTAAAACGTTTTCTACTTTGTCCGTAATAACCGTCAGTATCACTCCTGAGTTACTGTGTACACACCTCGGAATCGCACTGCTTTGGTTCGTATACCTGTTCAATCCTGATTTCCCTACAAGTTGTTGCTCCAAAGATTTCGTCGTCGAAATCAAACCCTGCGTCCCTCATCATGTCCTTACCGACGGACTCATTCTTGAGTATTACACGAACAGTATTCAGATGATCGCTGGCTCACTTCTTGCAGGGAGGGAAAGACGAAATTCATGATCACATCCTCAACGTGAGCCAAGATGGAAAGAACATTTCCAAGGGTCAGACAGAAATCAATCATTAAGAAATATCAGAAGAAAGCAAGGCTGTCACGGAATGCTGACATTTTGGTGAGATAAGATCAGTTCTCTCATCAAGTGTGGAATCTGAAACTTTTTATCATTTGTTTTCCCGCAAAGCAACTTCTCATCGACTGAGTTACTTTTGACTTTTTGTTTAAGCTAATATCATAAGTTCTCTTACTTTCATCGAGCTAAAAAAAATAATAATTTCTTTCTTGTATGCTATCTAAGTTACTGATAATACAAAAAGGGCAATACTCAAAGGCCGTGGGATTCAGTCAGGGATGACCATAGCCGCTTAATAAAGGTGACTGCTAAATAAAGATGAAAATTACAGTAATTATGGGGTAAAAATTTTGGGACTTTGAGAGCCGACCGCTTAACACAGAGTGACCGCTTACTATGGTGTTTGACATTATGTGGAAACAGTTGTGAGAAATCTAGGCCCGTCGAGGGAAGCATTGATGTAAATAACTAAATCATAAAATTGATTGAAATTATTAACTTTGAATAGTACGTTAGTAAGTTCCAGAGTCTAACTTAATGGTGTGACCAATTTCTTCTCGCAGATTTTTCTAGACTACATACTGTTCCTCAAACGCCTTGCAGCAGAAGCAAGTATCAAGGCGCTGGAGGAAGGAGAGAGGACCTTAAAAAGTAATCATGTGAATACTGTGTTTAAGGTCAGTACCCAAAAAGTAATGCCAAACCGTAATTTGGAATCTCACAAACTTTATAACCTTATTTTAGTCTCATTTATCAACCTTTCTTAATTTACAGAATGTGTTGAAGAGTTGCAAAGGATGAAGGTGATTTGTAACCATCAACCTTAATTCAGAGGAAGATTACAAGAAAAGTCTTCATGCATCAATTATTATGATGATACTATGAACATTTTGAATCTCTATCAAAAGTCACAGATGGCATGTTTTCTTGTTAAGTTTGGGAGTCATAAAATTGGTTTTTGTTCTCCATGCTAACTATCCACAAGTAAATTATACAAAATTTTGAGCCTTTTGGCTTAGCAGAAAGCACCTTACAAAGTGTCTTACAATTTACGTTGCATGATTTTAAAAGGTTTAAATGGGAGATTAATTAATAAAGCTGTTTATTTAAGATGTGTACTCTCTTTTGAGTCTAATCCATGGTATCTGTGCACCATAATGAATGGTTTGTTATCATATCCTACTATGTCATGTGAACAAAGTATCCTCTAAGGTCTGCTTAGCTCCCAAAATATGACTTAATATCTTAATTTTCATTTGGGGTTTTACCATGTGTAAGAGGTCTGTCCACACAACCTTGCTGCTACCTTCATCAAAAGGTTGTAAGCCCTTTTTCAAGTGCGTAACAGCACATTGATTACACTCAGTTTACCTAAAAGCTGGTGTTGACCTGCCTAAAGACTTGATTTATGTGGGAAAGTTTATATAGGTGAGACCAGAAGACCCACCAGGGGCAGAAGCAAATGGCACAATCACAATCTGCCTTTCTGTTGAGAACCAGTCACTCATTAAGGTAGATCAAACTTCATAAGGTGACCCTAACCAGTCCACTGTCTCATCTGAATACTTGCAGTATGCAGCTGAAGCATTGTAATCCACATCAGAAGCAAAAATGTTGTGAGAGTCAAGAGTACTTTATTACTATCGTAATCATTATTCACTTCAAATAATTATGAACTTTTTGATAACAACAAGCTAACCATATTTAATGCAAAAAGAGGATTCTTCGATCCAATGAAAAGTCTGGATTGGAATTCTAGTTACCAAAACCTCACAACCTAACAAGTATATTCACTATATCTTTCCAATAAATTATGATTAAAATACTGATGGATGATACTTTAGTATTCTTCATCAACCTTATTTATCTAAAATACATGTTTTACTATTCCATTCTGTTTAATTTGTCAGTCAGCCTTCTACCATTTTTTACTTTAAACCTGAATGTTCTTAAATTACAAACAGTTATTCTTCCCAACAGATGGATTGTTGGGTTAACTTTTGAAGGTTTGTGCACTTTTGCAGAAATTTATTTTACTTTCTAATTCTTACAATGTATTTCTCAAGTCTATAGCTGTAACATTACAGTATCAAGATTGTGTATTGATGCTGGACATTGATGTCATTCATGGCCAGTAAAAACAACTGGTTATATTAAACTGTTAATTGGCAACAGAGCAGGAAGAACAGAATCCACTCTATTACACCAAAAGTTTGCACATGTGCAATGGTACTGTCTGCCTCCATATGTGAGTTTCCCATCACTGTGTTTGGATGAATCTTGTGAACCCTTGTCAACATTCAAAAGACAAATTCCACAAGCTGAACGTCCATCTTCACTAACTGAGACATGATGGGTTGAGAAATCTAAACTACTCCTTGGTGGCTATCATTACAGAAAACAAGTAAAACATTGTTAGATAATGAATGCAAAGAGAGGCTTTATGTCATAACTAATAATAAAATGAGATTTGATAGAGAACTAAGTATGTCTTCAAATCTGTAGTATCCATGAGCTAACTAGTCATGCAAGTCATTCTAGTTACCATCTACAACTGTCTGACTACCAAAGATAACTGTTCCATTACCTTAGATAACTATCTGGTTACCTGAGATAAATATCTGGTTACCATAGATAATATTTTAGTTACCTGAGATGACTGTTTGGTTATCTTTGATAAATGTGTGGTTACCATGGTTAACAGCCAGGTTACTAATGGAACTGTCTGGTTACCAAGATATATTTCTTGTTACCAAATATGATATTACTGTCTCTTCACCTGATATAACTGTCTGGTTTTCATGGATAACTCTCTGGTTACCCAAGATGACTGTTTTGGTTGCCAATACACTATATTTGTCTGGTTACTAACAATAACTGTCTGGTTCCCATAAACAGCCATCTGGTTAACCTAGGTAATTGTCTAGATACCATGGATAACCCTTCTGGTTACCTACATAACTGTCTGCCTAACATATATAGCTTATTTAGCTCAAAACCAGCTTGCGCTTGGTCATCAGAATGCCATTTATGGACCTAATGACAATGATGACTAGAGTAAATAATGCTGTCAAATAAAATTTTTAAGCTGGAAAGTAGAACAATGGTTGGTAACAGAACCATAGGTGGTTACAGGGCTGTGTCATGAGGTTCTAGCTGTATTAATATTTATAATTAACAATTTGGACCCCCTTTTGTTTCTCTGTGGCCAGCATTTTTAGTAAGCCCTAATTAATTTTAGTTGTGCAGCTAGTGAAATTTTAAAAAGTTTTGTTGTAGTATAAAATCCACTCTTAAGCATTTGTTTATGGATACAAAGTTTGCCAATAACTACCAAAAAAAAAGCTGCTTACTGAAAGGGTGGAACCAGAAAGGAAGTTTGCAATGTTTTTCCATGTGCTCTCAATCTCCTGGTGGATATCTTTCAGCTTTGTGTTATTTGGTGCTGTGGAAAGACAAGGCATTAAATATTCAGTGAACAGCAACTTGTTTGAGAAAAGAAAAATAAGTATCAAACAATGCCCCATTGTCACAACTTAATAACTTCTACCAATAACTAATTCCTCCTCAGATATTAATTGCAGCTTTAGCTGACACTTTGTTTCCACATTCATGAGAAGTTGCCTCGACAAGCACTGTTAATTTCTAGCAATCTCATTTCACCACTCTAAACATAACATGGTAAACTTTTGTTTCAGTAGTATTTCATACATAACATCCTAATCACAAAGTTGTCTGGACATATATTAATCCTCATAATTTCATTTTACTTATCATTTTTCTGTTTTTATTTTATTTTCATATACACAAATCTCTTTTTTTATACTAAACAAGCATAATAATTCTTACAAAGATCTGAAGAAAGTCAAAAGAGCTACCTGATTTGGTTACTGATGCATTTATCCTTAGTGTAACTCTGTAAATTTCAACTATGGCTACAAGAGTAACAAAACATCACTAGTGAGAAATGCTGTATCTTCAATTACTAATAAGTGGAAAAGGACTGATTGGACAATTTGGAGAGTAATTGAGCTAGTAACCTCAAACTGGCTGAACAAGGAGCTTGAGACTGATTTACAATTATTTGCATAGGTACCCTTGAAATGTACACATGAAGTTGCATTACTCATTAATTGTGTCAACAACAAATTTATTGACCATACAATCCTTATAGCATCCATTTAAAATTACATTTCTCACATTGTACACTTTTGCAATTGAAAATTTTTCCCATTTTTCTCAGTAACACATCATTATTTGAATCATTTTTGTTTCTAGCTAAAGCATAAGACTGCTGTCACTCATGATTTGTTCTTAATTTTAATTGGTTGGCACTGACTGGGTTGTTATATCTAAATTGGTGGTAACATTTACTCTTTAATTTTCATTGGTTGTTGAACTGTCCACAACTTGTTTGTAATTGAACAGGCCAAATCAGAAAGTCAGCTGGTCCTGCAACAGCTCATTAACCTGCAAATAAGGGTTGCTAGGAACCTATCAGATTTAAGCAATCTGTTATTAACACAATTATGTTTCTCTAATAAGTCCTACAAGTTTGAATAGTTCTACTCAAGTTTGAAACACAAACTACTTTCTTTGAATCTACATGAGATTTGATAATGTTTGAAAATAATTATGCTACAAAATCTTCTATCTTCACTCATTTCAAGTCCCTCTACCTCCTTTCTTTCTCCAATCAAGTTTGCACTTCATGTATACCACTTGATAAACACATATCCTTTGCCAAAATATTTTTACCCATATCTTCTCCACCATCCAAAGTTACACCACCAAAAATACCTGAAAAATATGTGGCTCCTTCTTTGGACCCCAGGACCTCCTCCTTCACAGATTGCTCAACCATTTTCTGAATTGACAATGTAGCGGTTGCCAATGTTAAAAGGCAGCTGTTAAGACAACGGCTCCATGCATTTGCATGTTGATCCACATCCTGAACAAAAATTATCCATCAATTTTCCCTTAGCCTTAAACAATCACTATGCCAATAAACTAATTTATCATATTTTCAGCTAGAGATGAAAATCAGATGTTTTGAATGTATCTTGGTATACTTATTATTGACTTTTACATACAAATGCATCTCTTCAGCCTCAAATGAAAAGAGAAAGCAGAGGATTAAAGTTGATACCTCTTTGGTACCATTTAAAAGTGAAAAAAATTAGTAATGATGTGCTCAGAACAACTCAGTTTACCAGCTCAAGACCCACCTTCAAGTGTTATGGTTAAATCAAACAAATCAAAGATGTCTAAAGGAAATTGAGACCTCTCCTTGCCATGTCAGAGAAAAAGACACTCAACTGAACAACCAAAAAAAATTATTTAACTATACTGAAGAAAGTACTTAACAATCAGCTGATTTCAAAACAACAAAGCAAAATCTATGTAACATACCCCAGAATCATGTGAAAGGACCTTGTAACGTTCTGTAGGCTCCAATGACACTGAGTTAATGAGTGAGTCACTATTAGAAGAGGAACGTGGTCTGCTGCTGCTAGCATTTGATGGACCTGTAACAAATGACCCAAATGCCCCAAATTCATCATGATCATCTTTTCCAGGTGCAGGTTTAGCCAGATTTGTCTTGCCAAATGAGTTAAAACTACCAAAATCATTATTATGATTTTCAACAGAAGCTGTTGTAGGCTGTGGATCCAGTTGAGCATTTCCAAACACACCAAAGGACTGACTCTGTAAAGCATCTGTAGATTTAAATTCCCCAAAGTCACTGTTGTTCCCAGACTTAAATTGGTCAGCTACCTCAAAGCCTCCAAAATCAGCAAATCCATCATCATCCAATGTACCTTCCATCACTGCCGTCTGCTGAACATTGAAAATTCCATCTCCAGAGCTAAAATCAGCATCTCTAATGGCACCATATTTGTCCTCAGTTTTCTTAGTCAAACAAGTGGTTTGAGGAGGGTCACTGACCAACATTGGAAAACCTACAAAGCTGCTCTGGTTTCCTTTGGACTCCTGCTTGGTATTATCAACCTGTTCTTTTCTTTCAGTTAATTTTCTTCCTCCATCTTCAAATCTTGGCAAGCTTTGACTTTCAACACCTCCAAAACCAGATGGCGGAGAATGACTGG